GAAGAGGTTTGCATCTAAGATCTAACATGAGATGTGCTAAATAAAGTTAACATTGGTCAAAGCATATACATGCAAGCACTATTTAAGTCCCTCTAACCATCTATATCTATACTAAATATAAAAGATGATTGCCTTATCAAAACTTTTGATTTCTATTTTTACCCTTTTAAATTTGATAATTTCTCAAATGTGTTATTAGTTATAATTAATCATTCGCTAATTATATATAACTTCTTATTAATTATACATTTCCTCACTTTTTGAAAAACATTGGTCACACTATAATTTTATTATTTAATTATGTTATTTAATAGAAACTTTAAAATTTATCCATAATTTATCTTCACATAATATTTACAATCTAGAAAAATTAAAAATAATAAAAATTCATTAGACTTATGCCTTGCACCTTTGGGTTTCACCTCTCACGGAGGACTACCCGTTACTTTGCATCCCATTAGCTTTTTAAAAGTATTATAGTAGCATGAAAAACAATTTGTACTTATTGTAATTATAATAATATTCATAGTATAATAATTTTAATAATATTATTTAAATTAATAAATTACGCTGTAATTTAATAACTATATAAATTAGTAAATTTTTTACTAATAGTATAATAAACTAATTTAGTAAATTATTTACTAATAGTATAAAAACTAATTATTAAATTAAAATATAGGTATTAATAGTATTATAATTATTCCATGTGTACTATTATTATATTTAAAAGAGAATAAACTATTTAACGTATTTATAATTTATTTAATAAATTATAATAATTATCCAAACTATAATAATTAATCATACATTTCTTTATACACTATTTTATCGTACAATTTATTTATTTAAACAAATTTATAATCGTTTAGAATTTATAATGCTATGCAAGTCAATTCATTATTTTGCATCCAACAAAAAAAATGGAAAACATAAAAAAATGGATATGCTCTCGTGCAAATCATGTGCACTATACTAGTTGCATAAAAACTATGAAGTGAGGGTTATGTTTACATTAAGTCTAACAAAGTATTTCTAAGGGGAACATTAGAAAAATACAAACTAGTTTATCATGGTGGTGTATAAATAATATTATCATGGTGTGTACTGTATAAACAATGTTTATTATGTTGGGATATTTTAATTAAATTATATGTGTTATATATGCGTGAGAATGAATATTATACTGCTGGGATATTTTAATTAAATTATATGTGTTATATATGCGTGAGAATGAATATTATACTGCTGATTGAACAGGGTTTTAAATTTATTATATTATTGTACAGGTTTTTTCAATTTTCAAATTATTTTTAAAAAAATGTTGGAAATATTTAGCGACGGATTAGCTACGAAATATCCGTCGCTAATGTTTTTTTATTTTTTAAAATAAAGTAATGCGACGGATTATCCGTCGCTAATTTTCCGTCGCTACAAATTAGCGACGGAATATCCGTCGCTAAAATCGATTTTAGCTACCCTCACTATACTGACGGTCTTTTGGCGACGGAATTTTATTTTTTCCGTCACTAAATGTTTTAGCGACGGCTTTTCGACTTTTAGCGACGGATTTGTCCGTCGCTAAAAGTCATGTTTCCAGCAGTGACTATTGGAGTATGTATGTATGTATGTACAAAAGAAATCTACGGCGCAATACAAACAATCACCGAACTAATTGGATTATGCCCCCCCTTAATGAACGTTCAAGGAGCTGTCCTTGATGGGAAAAGTCATCATTTTCTCCACTGTTGCCTGAGACTTCTACAACAACTCATATAAATACTGAGAGTAACATTGATGCAGATATATTGACTAAAATGCCTTATAAAAATCCAATTGCGCGCATGTGTTTGGTAAACTTAGCACATACATGCATATATGTCTTGCATGGTGGACGCCACTTTGTGTTGCATAGTGGATTAATATTAAGCTATATATATATATATGATCAATGGGAAGCCTTTCCTTATAAGTTAGTTGAGATGTCAAATGCAATCATTTTACGCTCAAGTTTCAACTCACACGTGATGTGAAGCCAGCTTCACCTTCTCCCCGTGAAAAAGTTCTGGAGGAGCTTGAGCCGACAACTACCTCTATATATTTTTGCTTTAAAAATGTTAGGCTTTTTGACTGCATGTGTCCTTGATTTGGATATTGCAACTACTTTGTAAGTTTCTAGGGTTGATTTAAGAGGTAATTTGACATTGTTTTACTACATATTTTTTAAGTTGAAGTCATGTTTCAAGCCAAGTAAAATAATATTTAATTTGACTCTATTTTTTTTAAATGCAAGTCATAATAAATGGTAAAGCTTACAAACATAAACTAAACGGTTAACTAATATGACTGGTAACCTCGTCATATAAGTTTGGGTTTTGGCCTGATTATGTTTGGTGATCAAATATATTTCCTCTCAAGGAAACAATTGATAAAGAAATAATTAGGATCATGCGGTGTGGAAAAGGAAGATGATTACGATGTTTAATTAGCGTGTTAATTAAAACTCGTGTCATGATTATTTTCAGCACCGTTATAAGATATTTTCAGAAATAGATTGTCACCTAATTTACGCAAGGGAAGAAACTAGCTAGGTCGAAGTAATTAGTCTTGTACTCATCAGTTACACATTCTGGATGTGTGAGTACTTTCATAATTTGGGACCCTTACACATCATCTATTAGGTAGCTAAAACTAGTTCAGGTATATATAAAAAGATCAGTACAAAAGATCAGCGCGAACTTAAAAACAAATGAACAAATGTGTTTACATCTTCTAATAATTGAGATGATTGTGAGCCTAATCCATCAGTATCATGAAATTGACTTATTAAATGCCATGCATATTTGAACTATATAATTTGGTTTATTTTACTAGCTAGACTAACAAGTAAAAGCCCTGACGCATTATTTGATAAGTCATTCACATGTTTTCTAGGATAAATTTTTTAACTTTCTATAAGTTGAGAATGGATCTAGAGCTTTCAAGGGAAAAAGGGACTCACTTCATATCAAGTGAATTTGAGCTAGCAAGTCAATAGTGAAGAAGTTATGTTTCTTGCAGCATAGTGGCATGGCTTAAGACTCAAGTTTTCCTGTTTTAAATTCAGCAATTACTTTGAGCTCTAAACGAAGATCATGTGCATAATTCCGGCTGTGGTTTGTTACGGCATCACATCAATTTCTAAAGAAAGGTATGCGTGTGTTGTGTATGCCTAATGGAGGCTACTAGATCGTGTCTTTAAATGATTTTAATAAGGTAGATATCTTAACCTTTCATCTAACTAAATGCTTCAGGATGATGAGACCCACCAAGCACTGGAGCTTTTATTGGATAACCTTGTATCGGATCATACAAGTTACAAATTTAATACACGTTTGAAAGAGTCTTGAATTGGATAATGCTAATAACTGCACTACGACACTTGCACTACTTTTTGAAATGTGAAACTGATATCAGAGCATGTAGGCTGGCAAGTCTTCGAATGTTGCTTCGTTTAGAGGCCTTGTTGGTATGAGTTAGACCTCGACGCACATACTATTTGGTTTGATATAGATTGGATTTTCATAAGACCTATGTGCCTTTGAATGCTCATGTTGCTTTGAGACTTTGTGGGTATGAGTTAGGACAAGATGCATGGAGTGGACATCTTATTTGGCCTAAACACATGCTATTGCATTTACTCGTCGATATGATTTTAATTTTCCAGAAGTCATTATCTACATTAGTCATCAGATTGGTTTTTTATCTAGACTTGATAGATATGAGCCACGCGAGGTGAAAATCTGTTATCAGTCTCTTACATCCTTTAGATCAAACGTGTAGGGGTCTAGCAAAAATGGAATTTATTAGTCCCAGTATAGTCAGGCAGATATATGATTCAACATGTTTGGATTCATGACTCAACAAATCCTTCGAACATAATATGGATTCAAACAAATTAGTCTAATTCATCTTGGTTTGTAGACTTTTACAACCTGATCGACACTATATACCAGCAAGAATGTTCTCTATCTTTCTTCATTTTTCAAGGTGATGAATTTGAATATCATCAACTTAAATACATACGTACACCGCATATTTCCAACTTCTGTTCAATTTTTCAATCATATATAGTCGTATGGTAACTGGCTGGTAACTAGCTAAAACCATTAATTACATGGACTGTCAACCTTGACTTCTCAGTCTACGTAACTGATTTTGACTCTAGTAGCTTAAGCTTACAGGTTTTGCTCCTGTAATATGACTGGGAGGCTTAGGATCAAATCTCATCGGACACAAGTTATAACAACTTCGGCATTGCATACTTTGCTCTTATCCTAACAAATAGTAAACGTTTTAGCGCATAACAAACTTTTCTGTTCACCATTATGTGCAAAAAACCAAAGAGCTATAGCCCCATATACCATAACCTTTTGACAAATATTCACTCACTCCCACCTAACTAATCCAATTTGTTTACGTCCTCGCATCCTGCCTTGAGCCAACTAGACCTCGAAATCCTATATAAGTGGGCAAAGCAAATATGCTCTCCACAAGCTAAACACACTCCTCCTTTTGAGAAAAATCTTAAGGCAATGACTTCTCTTTCAATGGCCTATACACCTTTGTCCATCATTCTCTTCCTCTTCATTGGGAGCTCCTCAGCTCATCTCTCAACAAACTTTTATTCATCGTCATGCCCGAAAGTCTTTAGCACAATTAAACCAGTCCTTCAGTCTGCGATTGCGAAGGAGAAGAGGATGGGTGCCTCCATTCTTCGCCTCTTCTTCCATGATTGTTTCGTTAATGTACAACTGGTTACAGATATTAGTTGCTATACTGGACTTTGGTAGATAAACTTCTAATAACTAATACTACAATGTTTGTAATGTACATAATTTCTAGGGTTGTGATGGGTCGATACTCTTGGCTGACACTGCCAACTTCAGAGGAGAGCAGCATGCTGGACCTAACAATGGATCCGTCAGAGGGTTTAAGGTTATAGACAAGATCAAGACTGCAGTAGAAAACGCATGCCCTGGTGTCGTATCATGTGCCGATATCTTGGCCGTTGCCGCAAGAGACTCGGTCGTAATCGTGAGTACTAATTGCAATTTTGAATGTTGCTACCTCGTAGAGTTTTGTGCATTAATATTTTCATTTCGAAAAATTGCTACTTGTGCAGCTTGGAGGGCCTGATTGGAAAGTGAAGCTAGGGAGGAGGGATGCAAGAACAGCCAGCGCGACTTTAGCTAACAACAACATTCCACCTCCAACCTCAAGCCTCTCAAATCTCATCTCTAAGTTCGCAGCGCAGGGTCTTTCGACTAAGGATATGGTCGCACTCTCTGGTACACAAGCACAAGTCATTGATACTCAAAAATTAGAACGAATATTTATTTGATTTCCCCCCCTATATTTTACAAAAGACTAATTAAAGATAAGAAAACAACTACAAGATGACACAAAAAATGTCACCTGGTACTTCCAACATCACAGTTTCACCTTGAGATGACAAGAAGGGACTCAAATGACATACCGGTAAGCGTTTCTAACTCATGCCTGTATGTAAATTGGTACTAATTACCTGAGTCTTTTCTGTCCTCATGATATAATCGATAGAAAAGCATATACAACCATACAAATTAAGCTACACGAAAACGTGATTTTCCATCTTAGCCCCTCGACTTCACTTTGATATTACAAAAAAAAGGCCTCAAACGAGTACTCAAATAACGTGACCACAAGTGCTTTCTAAAACTAAACACGCGTGACGCAGGTGCACACACTATAGGGCAGGCGAGATGCACAAGCTTCAGAGGACACATCTACAACGATGCGGACATCGACGCTTCCTTCGCTTCCTTAAGGCAAAAGATTTGCCCACGAAAGAGCGGGTCGGGTGACACCAACCTGGCTCCATTGGATCTCCAAACTCCGACTGCATTCGATAACAACTACTACAAGAACCTCATCAACAAAAAGGGATTGCTGCACTCAGACCAAGAGTTATTCAACAATGGAGCAACCGATTCTCTGGTGAAGAGCTACAGCAACAGTGAAGGCAGTTTTAACTCTGATTTTGTTAAGGCCATGATCAAGATGGGAGATATTAGCCCCCTCACTGGGTCTAAAGGAGAGATTAGGAAGATTTGCAGCAAGATTAATTGATTAAATGGGAGAAGCTAATGTACGTGATTAGTGTGCTGTGCTGTAGTTGTCTTTAGGAGGTCTATATCATCTTGTTTCTTATAGAATTGAGGTTTCTCAGGTTGAATATTTATGTTGAGACGCGATGAGTTCTGAAATTGAGCTTAAAATATATACGCAATGTTGCCAATTTCCTGTTCTTTAAAAGAAAGTGAAAATAATAAAGATATTTATATGTGTTGATCCTGATCGAATTGTATTGGACTTCAAGTTGAATTGTTAAACTCTTACTTTTAATTAAAAGATTTTTTTCGATGACGTCAATCGGTACCTGAAGAGATAAGTGCATGGTCTAAAATGGGTATGCGTCATGAAATAATCAATCCATGAAAATGACTAAAGGATCACCATCATAAAGCAAAAGGTATGTTGAGGGTCATAAATTTTTTTAAAATCAAGGCTGTTAGCTCCGTGGGAACCGCGATAATTGATAGTACTCGCGATTCTACATACAGAAAATGCTGTGATGAAATGATGCCATTTAAAGATTTTTAAAAGTTGAAACATAACCCACCGTTACAATCGTCGATATGTCCGAGTGGTTAAGGAGACAGACTTGAAATCTGTTGGGCTTCGCCCGCGCAGGTTCGATCCCTGCTGTCGACGATATGCGTAGTTGTTTTTTCCTCTTGACTTTTTCATACTATGCTTTCAATATTAAAGCCCTTTTACAATTAATTTTAACCAAAAAAATTTATTCGGCTAACTATTTCCTACTTTTTTAGGTACTATTTCCTCTTTTCCAAATTTGCTTGTGAAATTCTCAGTCCTAACTCTTTTGTTCGCTGTTTCAGGAACGAAGTTGGTTCTGTTGATTTAGGTTTTTCGAGTTTGATAGTTGTCCTCTTCAATTTAAAGTTTTATCTTATTTTATTTTATTATTTCAAATATTTTCAGCTTGTTGCGGCTATAGTAAGTTTCAGTGTAATGTTTGTAGGTAAAAAAATTCTCAATAAAAAAAATATTAAACTGATTTAAGAACTTAGACAATTAATTCGCCTAAGGGTCTGTTCGTTTGCCAAAAAAAATCCAGAAATCTCTTGCCACCTCAACTTTCAAGAAATAAACAAGTGCCACATGGGATTTTGTTTTCAAGAGATTTCCATTTCTCATGTTTATTTCGTTTTTAATTTTCGAGAAATGAACCGCTACGTAGGCTGCCACCTCAAACTTTCAAGAAATGTGTTTTCACACCAAATTGGGCTGAAAACACTTGGAAATGTCCCATCTAAGAATTATTAATTAGTAAAAGCACTGTTGGAATAGTGCAGAATAATAAAACATAATATTTAATACCCTCATTTCTCATTTCCTATTTCTTATTCTCAAACAAACAAAAGAAATAGAAAACTGGGCACTGTTATTATAGAGGTTTTTTTTTTGTCTGTTTGTGTGACTTGGCATTGAAATGTGGAGTTTTCTTTGCGAAACAAACCAAAAAAAAATCTAGGAAATGTGCTTGAAATGTATTAAAATCATTTCAATGATGAGTTTTCCATTTCCAGTTTTTTTTTGGAAATAACCAAACAGGCCCTAAGAGCATCTCCAACAGCTTCCCCATCTTCTTGAAATACTCAAATTTGGGGAATATAGAGCTTTTTTTTGGTCCAACAGATTCCCCATCCTATTCTCTAAAATAGGGAAGGAGGAGAAAAAATATGGAGCCTTCCCCAAATCTGCAGCATTCTCCAAATTTTTGGGGAGAGCTTTATTGTTGTAATAAATGCGATTTTTCAAAATGGGGAAGCTATTGGAGTTGGAACAGAAATAATTTGGAGAATATGACTTTTGTTTCTCCATTTTGGAGAAAATTTTGGGGAAGCTGTTGGAGATGCTCTAATAGGCCTTCCCTTTGGATTTATAATTTACGGCAAAGACTTGATACGTGAGAGTTCTGTGCTCTGGGATTGAAATTCATTTTTGGTAAACAGAGTTCAATTAAAGCAGTAAGCTTGTTTTGAAATACTGGAGGGAAAGTCCTCTCATCTTCAATCACAATCGCTCGTGATTTGAGCTGACGGTGGTGATTTGTCTTCAGTACAAAATGAGACACTAATATTTGCATATTTCTAATAAGAAAGTCGATCAGCAAGTAGAATGACCGATGTAAGATTAGCAAAGGAAGCGCGAACTCCCAATGCTTTTGGGGAGAAAAGGAATTCCAACTCATAAGTAACATTTGTTAAAATCAAATACCAAAGACGTAAGGTAACGTGTGAATATGATAATTCGAAGTCCATCCGCCACATGCTATATAATCAAGCATTGTGCACACACTGCATTTTTACAGCATCCCAAAGCTGTCGATAAAGCTTCTCTGAGTCGACTCAGACGCACGAGCATTGTACATAATTTTCAACCCTAGGCTTCACAAGCAATGTGCATGACGTACAGTATATATGAAGTACACTTTTCTACCGAATAGAATAACTCGCGATTACAGAAGGCCTTCGGAACGAATCAAATGCTGAAATATTGAACCTCGATTATCCCATCAAACTTCAGGAGAAATCCATACCGGAACACGTAGGGTTGCAGGGATATGGGCAATCCACTTCTTTCACCTCTCTTCTGCCGAAGTACCAGTCCCCAACAGCTTCTGAAACTGTCTGCTTGGAAGCGTATAATACCCAAAATCAGCAAGTTGATACAACTTTTTAGATAAAATACAGCTCAAGAAGCATGCTGTACGACTGCGCAAAATGTTGCCCTAAAATTTTCCGGGAATCAGCCACAGAGCCCGAACCCTTTCTCATGATTCCAAAGTGAGTATATGGAGTGATAATTTGGTTCGTGTTATGAATGTGGAATTGTGACATAACTAGAGGAACATGAAAACAGCAATAGATGGGATAACTAGGTCGACAAGTGTTACAAAAACGTTATCCTAGGCGGGACCTAAAATTTCAGGAGAAATTAGCAATAAAGGTCGCAAATACCTTATTGTTAATTCTTGGTGATGTTGGAGAGTGCCATGTGATGCCGGTCATTGACTGGCAGTGTACATGGCAAGAATTAACAAACATTCCTGCGTCCTTTTTGTGCTGAAATTCACTCACGGCGTCAAGCAAGGATGTCCTAAAACCTGATAAGAGAGTCATAATATTCTGTGTCATAAAGGAAATATCTTAATTTCTTAAAGCTCATGCACAACGGCTTGTGATGAAGAGAAAGTTTCTGATTATAACCTTGCAGTACTTCAATCTGATTGGGATCACAATCTTGAATGCGCTTCTTGCACTTTAGCCAGTGCCCTTGAGGATCAGATTCTTCTGGTGCCAGAACATTTTCTAACTGGAGAATGTTAAATCATGATTTGAGAAGAACGATTTTGAAAATTACAAGATAAATCAAAGGAAGCCTAAAAGGTAAGCACTTACCTGCCAAAAATCATAAGCAGTGTTAAGAACAAAAAGTGGAGTCTTTATGCTCTTGATAAGCTCACGAGGAAAGAAACACTGAATAAGGAGGGGGGAAACAAGGGAGCATGTCAAACCAAGGAAACATGTCAAACCAAGATTTTGACATCAAAGGTTGATACACCAATTGGCTAGTGGAGGTAAATTATAACAAGGGAAAAAAGGGGAGCATGTCAAACCAAGATTTTGACATCAAAGGTTGAAACACCAACTGGCTAGTGAAGGTAAATTATAACAAAAATTCGATTGAAATTTTACATGTGAGGGGTCCATCCTTTTTGTGCAATCGGTTGGCAGGTTCTTTCCCACATTCTGGAAACATTTCAAACAATAAAGGATTCATCAGTACGATATAAGAAAAGAATAGATGCACAATGTAACAACCCTGAAATTTTAGCTGATGCAGATTCAGGCAGGTGTGTCGAAAACCTCAGATGATAGAACCAGGAAAAGTAGACATCACAAGAGATGTAAATTGTAAAATTTTAAATTTTAGTAATCTCTAGGAGTGTTACCCAAACAAATTATTTGTTTTAACTTAAAATATGTGCTGGATTAGTTAGTTAGATCATTGAGTTTAACCCTAGTGTCAGTCATGCACTAAATTCGGGTAGCAATGAACATATATATACACATGTATATAAGCAGCATATGCACATAAAAACATATACTTGGATGTATGCATATGTATAGATGATGCATGCATATATCTAAGTATATACAACAAGTAATATGAGCTAAAATGAGATGTGTGGAAAGAGTATCAAGGTTTCAGTGGCAATAAAAGATATGTCTATATAAGCAGCAAGGGATTGGGAGGGAGTAGAATGATTTTTATTTTTTTATTATTATTATTATTTTTGGCCGGTGTTACTGTTGCTGGTTTTGGTGGGGGCTATAGCAACAAATGCTTGACGATATAATAACATGTTCCCCGCTTCTGCTCAGTTGCATAGCACAACAACACAAAAGAATGATGAATTTCATAATAATAAGAGCATATGTCTATAGGACCTCAATCGTGGAACAGAAACAAATAATTAAAAAATAGAAAAAAAAAGTATCAGATTGCAAAATAAAAACAAATTGGTCTTCCGTATGGAAAAGACAAGTAAGTCCAAAAATGAAGATATAACATATCCGATGCACCTCTTAATCTTCAACAACAATCTAATTTTGAGTGCATCATTAGAGAAGTAGCATAACTATTAGCTACTTAGAAAATATTTCACTTCAATGGTTTGAATGTAGGCTGTAGGCTGTAGCAGTTCCTGTCCTAAAATGAAATTACAATCCAGGCCCATCAAGAGTACACTTGCTATCTTCCAGGCAAACAACTCCACTGGATATATTCCTGATACTGGTATAGTTTGCAGATGGTATTGAAAGGTTCTTTGCACAAGGAAAATAAAATAATAGTAGTAGAACTCAAATTGCGATCTCCTTACATAATATTTTATCACTAACCGGGCAATGGCACACTTTATTAGTTAAAATGGAAAGTTCATAATAAGGAAGGTTATATTAAAAAAAGATATCCAGAAGCCGTATGTAAAATTGAGCACACCTGAAGCCTGACAACGTCATTATAGAAAGACTGCATCGTTCTTTTACCAGAAACATCCTTTCTGCAGCAAAAGTTATGAAACAAAAAATTAATAGGTTCAGATCAACGCATCGAGAGGTAGAACTCCTAGGTAAAGCTTGAAAGTTGAATCCGAATGTTTTCCAGTTATCAAACACTGATTTATTGATTAATTTGTTCTGCAATCCAGCCACATAACGAGCAAGAATTCTTGTTCACAGTGGGAATTCTCTTCAAGTTCATGAACACCTGTGTTACCTGGGTACTTCTAATCTAAAGCCGTACCCGTACCCGTACCCATACCTATATTCAAACTCCTTAGACACTCCTTGCATGTATGCATACATTTGTTCGGACATGTTTTCAATTATACAATACATGTTTTAATTTAAAACACTTGTCATACATATTTTGTACATATATCCTACACTTCACATCCACTCCTTGTGACTTGTTGGACATATGTTAGGTTTCAAATTATGATTTTAAAGAGTCGTTTTGATTTCTAGTTCAAAAATTAGTGATTTTCCAATTTATATCCACATCCAGGCTTATCGAGGCGCGCGCCTCAGGTTTCAAATTATGATTTTGAAGGGTCGTTTTGATTTCTAGTTCAAAAATTAGTGATTTTCCAATTTATATCCATATTCAGTCTTATCGAGGCGCGTGCCCC